GCCTATTTATATTTCACATACTTCGTTTTCATATGCAGATCATTTTGTTTTTCTAAAAAGTAAGAACTGTAGTAACTCACTGAAGATTGGAAGAATTTTGTACAAAAGAGACCCAGCATATTAAGAAAAAAAAAGAAAAAGAAAACTGGATTTTTTTTTAGCTGTGACACAAACTGAAACATCACTTTATTTACACTGATGCTCATCTGAACATGAAAATATTCAGAATATTTGAAAAATTGCATATCAGCACAAACAATCAGCACGCAGTAAGTTATGGCACACATATTTCTTCAAGTACCAATTAACTCATTGCACTACTGCAAACATAATTCTTAGTTCTTGCTAAATGACATGTCAATGTTAATGTTAATGTCTAGACTCTCCCACAGAAAAAGCATAATGATACAAGGAAACACATTTTGGCTGATTACAGTAATCTTTCTGCCAGAGATCACATACTGTGGCAACCAGTTCTGTTCTTAACAGAGACAGATGCTGCTCAGAGCAACAGTGGACAATGCTTGACTGTGTAATCATGGCATACAGCAGGAACCATTCCCTGCTCCCTAAGTGTTAGAGGGATGCAGAGGATGAAGCTGCCTTAGTTACTTTGGGAAATCTACTCTTCTCTTGCAATTCATTCAGTCTCCACAAATTCTACTGCTGTTAGTTGTGACCAACGCTTTCAAAGTACGAATCCAACAAAATCTATATCTATACCTCCTGTTTTTTAAGAGCCACAGAACTGCACAACCTCTTTGGAACTTCTGAATGTAAGTCTGGGAGTGAATACCCCCCACCCCCGTCCCTTCCCTCTCCCCCCCAAAAAAACCCATGTACTTGCTTCTACAAATTCAAAAGATTAGAAGATTCTGAATAGTCTCTCACAGTTGAAATACTTCCACAAACAGAAATGAAAAAATTGACACTACCGGGAAATAAACATAATAAACATAATAAACTCTGAACTGGGAGAAGAACTTTCTTGGGAAAGACAAAATTAATTATGCAGTTAGTTACCTTCGCATCTTCTGTTCCAGGATCTGATCCACTGAATTTTTCCTCATGAAAACCTCTAGTCCTCTCCACTTTTTTCATGGTCTGAAAAAAGGATGTTTTCTCCAGTCTGTTACTGTTGTATCGTGTATTGATTTCCTCCAGCCTGTTAATCCTAAGTAGCTTCATACTGTGCCCAGTTAATTTACTTTCTGTTTTCCTCTCCACCTTAGATTCGTAAACCAGTGAACACTCATAACTTCTGATTTCTCCTCTTTCTTGTCTGTACAAAAGAAAGACAAATTGGAAGTATCAATGTTATTCATGAATTTAAGCATAGAAAACTGCTATTGTTGGAAATTTTTATATGTCAGATATCTGTTTTTATATATTCTGAACCAATACAGAAATATAGTTAGCAAAACCAACTGTTAAAACATGGTTCTCCACCTCTTTGTCTACACTGAACTAAACAATTCAAGCAAGCTATAGGATGGATGTAATTTAATTTATTCACAGAGACAATTTAGCTCTACCAAATCATCATACATTACTGTTGCTTGTAGACCTTGCTTATGGATCACCACCCATTTTTCTACCAATTCAGTGGCTCCCTGTTGCTGAGATGCGTTCTCTTTCTCTCCACTGCAATTCTACAAAGTGATAAGTGATGGCCATGTGATTAAGTCCATTACATTTTTATATATTAAACAAATACCTTTTTCTTTTCACTGCCCTATACCGTGGAAATTCATAATTGTCCAAACGACTGTGATCTCAGGTCTTCTGTTTAATGCTGCAAAAGACCACACTCCTCAGCTGGGTTCCTTCCACTGCAGATCCTCACAATGTGTTTTGTACTGACATGATATAGAAACATCAAGCCTTGTCTCAATTTTCTACAGAAAAGCTTTTATTCCACAGCAAGGTTGTGGGTTTTCTTTCCCCAGGTAATTACTAGTTTATACTTGGAAAATCATAGAATATCTAGTTGGAAGGGCTCCACAAGGATCATCGAGTCCAACTCCCTTCTGCACAACTAATTTTAAAAGACTACGAGAAACTACTCTAAAACTCCATTTAGCAACTCAGAATAGGCCCAGGAAATACAGGACAAAAACATTCTCATTCACTGTACTGTAAGCACTGCTACAAAAGTACTGTGGTAATGCTTTAGCTCTAGAAAGATGGATCTGGTCAACCTCATTACACAGCTCATTTAACTTGCATAAATACCATAAACTATATGGCATAATTAAGAATGTATACAGTCATTAGCAGCACAGGGAAGCACACACCCAATTAAATTAGCTATATTTACCCAAACACCTTTCAACATAAAATACCCTTCACTGTATTTCAGTCACACATCTGTACAGGTGCAACTGATTAGATGTATACCTACACCAACTCACTTTGCACTGCCCTTATTTATTCCAAACTCTTCCCAAATGTGACAGATAACTTATGCTATCACAAGTAACACAGGAGGTAGCTTGCTTGTGGTGACAATTATAGATTAAAACCAGTAAAGGACTTACACTGCAAGCTTGCAGCTTGCAAATGTGTCTTCTAGAAAGATTTCTGCTACTAAATTATTGTAAGATGGTGGTAATATGTGACTAAGATGCTCACAGATCTATCAGCAGGTGAGTGCCCAGAGTGGGAGAGACATCCCTGAGTATGCTGTTAGTAAGTGATATGCATGAACATCAGCATGGGATGGTGAGACATTCATCATCTGAATGAGTTTTGCACCCAGTGTGTAAAAATGCTGGATCTGCTGCCTCTAGCTACCTCACTAGTTCTTAAGGTTCCACCATCCCTTTCCATCTCCTTCAAGTGAAATGACCCTTTGGGAGCTATTTCTTCCCCAGGTTATCTGAGCAAGACGCATGAGTTTTGCTACATCTACTAACAGTTTCAGGTGCCATACCACAAGGGCTCCATCTAACCTTTGAGCTATCATCCTCATTCAATCTATTCAGCATCAATGGGTGATGCAACATATCCCAAAGTTGTCTGAAAAAGCAAGTGAGTTTTACATATCTCCTCTCCCACCATCATACCTCCAGCTACTCAAAGTCCACATGTTTTAGAGCTACTTGGCTGTCAAGACCACTTTTGGCATGACTGACTGTAAACTGGGAAAGTTGATTCAGACTCTCCATAGTTCCTCAAAGTGCACATCATCTTGCAGGTTGTGACAAACAAATGTGGCCATCCATCTAATGAGAATGACATGTCCTGCTGAAAGGGCATGTTGTTCCCTCAACCTGACTGATGGGTCAGTTATCTGGGAAAATATTAGTGGGATGACAAGCCCGAAGGCATTACTGTGCTCCATTACCAATGAGAGACTAGGATCAAATTCAAATGTTACTGCCTTCTCCCCCATTACTATCTTAATTTATTCCTGAAATGATAAGCTAAACAACAGAAATTTTTTGAGGTGTACAGGGTGAAATTCGTTTGCAGTTTTCCCCTGCACAGTCCCAGGGATTCAATCCCATCCTCATCATGTGCCACAGAGCAATGTGAGATTATGGCCCTCCATCTTATTGAAAGTGAAAAATTGTGTTTGGTTAGGTGTTGAGCTCTGTTTCTTTCAAAGGAGCATTAAGCTTTCTTTCTGTCATTTACATTCCCTAACTTTGACCTTAGAGATGCTTTCTTCTGGGTCTTCTCACCACACCAGTCTCTCAGTTTAAGCAAAACAGCTTGCTTCATGTGTCATATCCTCAGTAACATGCACAGAAACCATAGACATGACATGGAAACACAGAAACTTGCTCAGCTGTATGTAGAGAGGGCAAATACAGTCCTACAAAATAATAGCACATGTACATTAAAATATAACTGATAAACGGAAGATAAAGGGGGAAGTTCTTCACAGAGAGTGATGAGGTGATGGAACAGGCTGCCCAGAGAGGCTGTGGATGCCCCGTCCTTGGAGGTGTTCAAGGCCAGGTTGGATGGGGCCCTGGGCAGCCTGGTCTAGTACCAGGAACCTGGAGGTTGGTGGCCCTGCCTGTGGCAGGGGGGTTGGAGCTTGATGATTCTTGGGGTCCCTTCCAACCCAAGCCATTCTGTGATTCTATTATTCCACGATGAATTTAAAATGGCTCAGAAATAGGAATGAGCACACAAATACATGTCAGCCAAAAAGAAGAACCCATCAATAACCTTTTTCTTTCTCAGCCAGTTTTTAGATTGGAATCCTGTCAGTTAGACCTAGGTTTACATGATGGGTCATACAGCACCTTACTCAAAACTCCATCCTTCGCCCTTCATATTGAGTTCCAATGAAAACTATTTCCTACCAGTTGGTTGCTTGCAAACCAGACATTTTCAATGTTTAAGCTGAGAGACAGTTACTTTTACATAGTAGCCAGACTTGTTTACCTCATAGATCCCAGCATAACACATCTTGACATTAGACTGACCTGAAATTTACAAGCTGAGAATGGTTACGTAATAGAATATAATTAAATCTAAATATATAATTCAGGAAAGAAAATAAGACGTAAGGTGGAAAGAATTAGCACGGGGTCAAATTCAGGTGGTAAATCAGGACGCTGATGGCACAGCTTTCTATGCTTTTATTTAAAATACAAAACAGAGATGTGGCACTGAGGGACATGGTGGGGATGGGCTGATGTTTGGACTAGATGATCTTGGAGAAGGCTCTGGGGAGACCTCACTGTGGCCTTCCACTACTTGAAGGGAGCATATAAACAGGACGGGGAATGGCTGTTTGCATGGGTGGACAGTGATAGGACAAGGGGGAATGGTTTTAAACGGACACAGGAGGTTTAGGTTAGATATTAAGAGGAAGTTTTTCACACAGAGGGTGGTGAAGCTCTGGAACAGGTTGCCCAGGGAGGTTGAGGATGCCCCATCCCTGGAGGCATTCGAGGCCAGGCTGGATGTGGCTCTGGGCAGCCTGGTCTGCTGGTTGATGCACGTAGCAGGGGGTTGAACCTGGATGATCGTTGCGGTCCTTTTCAACCCAGGCCATTCTGTGCTTCTATGCTCTTAGCGGTCATTCCAACATTAAAGATTCCATGTTTCTACGACCGGGCCCCCGCCACCTGCAGGACCACCTCCATCCCGGGCTTCCAACAGCCGCCCGGCGACGCCTCTCCTCCGACGGCCGTGCAGCCCGATCGTCGCGATCGCCGCGGCGCAGGGCGAGAAGCGCAGAGAACCGACAGCCCTCCGGCCGAGACGGCAGTGAGCACAGCCAGACGGCAGTGAGCACGTCCTCCCGCCGCTGGGGGCGTACTACGGCTCCCGAAGGGCTGCGGGCGCAGAGGGCGGGCGGCCTCGCTTCCCGCTCCGGCGCTGCCCCGACGGCGCCGCGGGAACCGATGGAGGGCGCCGAGGCGCGGGTGTCGTGCCCCGTGTGCCTGCGGGAGCTGCCGGGCGCGCTCATCAACGCGCACCTGGACCGCTGCTTGCAGGCCGCGGAGGGCGAGGCGCAGCGGGGCTGCTCACCCCCTTCCAAGAGGCCGCGCCTCGCTTCCGCCCAGTCGGGCGGCGAAGCGGAGGAGCGGCCCGAGGAGGCCCGCCCGGCGGCCGCCCCCGTTTTCTCCCTGTTTCACAAGGGCCGGAGCAGCGGGCCCGGGCGGGGAGATGCCGCCGAGCTGCCGGAGGAGGACGGCGGGCCCGCGCTGCGCGGGGCGAGCGTGGCGCGGCGGCTGGAGGGGCAGCCCCTGGCCGACAGGCTGCGGCCGGACACGCTGCGGGACTACGTGGGGCAGGAGCGAGTGCTGGGCGCCAACACCCTGCTGCGGTCCCTGCTGGAGTCCCACGAGATCCCCTCCATCATCCTCTGGGGACCGCCGGGCTGCGGCAAGGTGAGTGCCTGGCCCTGCCCCGCCTGGAGCTGGGCTCGCCCTCGGGGCCCCGGGCTCTGCCCGGCTTCGTTTTCGAGGCTGGTGGACTCCAAGGGAGGGACTCGTTTCTGCGCTCACTTTTTTTCCCCCTGTTTGTTATCTTGGCTTCTGTGGTGACCGTCCACTAGTTTGCACTTAGATTACGAAAACGCAGCTTAATTCTAGAATACAACATGACCCACACCCATCATCCCTATTCGCTGCAGCTTGGACTTTGATTACACGGGCCAGATTAGGTTCATTGCAGCCAACGGGCGTCTTCTAGTAAACTCCTAATCCATTAAATAAATGCAAAAGCTGGGAAGTTTGAAAGCAGCAACAGAACAGAATCATAGAATTTGATTTGGAAAGGCCCCTTGAGGGCCATTTAGTCCAGCTCCCCTGCAGTGAACAGGGGCACCTACAGCAAGATCAGGTTGCTCAGGGCCCTGTCCAGCCTGACCTTGAGTGACTCCAGGAACAGGGCATCCACCACCTCTCTGGGCAATCTATGCCAGTGCTTCACCGCCCACATAATAAAAACTTTTTCCTTATATCTAAATATATAGGAAATGAAGGAGGCTTACAATAACAGCTTGCAAACAGAGGTTTGCTTTAGCCCAAAAGTTCTGTCTCCTGACAGAATAAGACTTCAGTGTGGAAGGCAGCCGATACTGGCTAGGTGTGCTCTGCTAGGCACCCATCCACCTTCAAGCATGCGGACAATCAATTGATCGTCCAGTTGCAGGTTCTGACTGCTGCACTCTCATGTCCTACATCTTTTGAGATACCAAAGACAGAGACTGATAAAATCCCAAAAGGCACTGTAGTGCAGCGTGGCAGTGAAAGGATCCACAGTTGGAGTGAGTGAAGGACCAAATAAATGCCTTGTGTGTGTTCACTCAGAGATCTCAGCTTAACTCATTCTCCCTGTATTTCTAATTGGGATTTGAGGGGGGAGAAGCTAAGCAAGCAAAATACGTGCTCTGTCAGTCTAATGTGTTTTAGCTTTAAGTTTTACATGTTATGTACACCTGGGTGTCTTGGATATGTGTAAAAGCAAATGTGGGATATGTGAAATAATGACTAATGAATTAATGCTAGCAGAGGAGTTAAGAGCAAGTTGCTACCCTGTCATTGTCAGTATACTTCTTTTGAAGATAAAAAGTGACTTAATGTGTGTGAAGTTTGTATAATACCAGTTAATCACAGTTAATAGGAAGAGGGTATGAGAATGGGTGATACATACATGGATTAATACTGTTAGCAATGATATACTAGCTTGTTCAGGCTAGACAACACACACCTGAAAAGAACCAGTTGGTGAATGTACACCATTGCTACTTCCTTTAAAACAGCAAGGTAATATCAGAAAGAAATCAGTAGGTGAGGTAAAGGAGCTGTTGGAGTGGATCCAGAGGAGAGCCATGATCAGAGGGCTGGAGCACCTCTCATGAAGAAAGATGGAGGGAGCTCATAAAGCTGGTGCTCATAAAGTGATTGTCACATTCAGTGTCTGAGCTCAGTGGACTTCGAGTTGTATTCTGCTGAGTCTACAGATTTTTTGAAAGGCTACAGAAAAGCTTGATCTTGAGCTGGTGATGGCTCACTGTTGTGCTACAGTTCTACTTTTGGAACCTCCTGTGTTGCTAAGATTGTTTTTGAATAATGGGTGATCTGTTTCCTGTCATGTCACTTTCACTCACCTGTGACGTACCTTCTTTATTCATACACCTTGAGTGCAGTTGTGTTTAGTAAGCTTGCTACTCACTAAAGCTAAAATTCTGCTACTGATCAGACTTGCCTTATGACTTGCATAAGGACTGTCCTTTTAGAGTTGTGGTTGAATTGAAGTCATATGAGAGTTCTATATTTCACTTGGGTATTAATTCCTGTCCATGCAAGGTAAAATAATCCCCTTGAAGATGGAAAAAGCCAGGTTGGATGGGGCCCTGGGCAGCCTGGGCTGCTATGAAATGTGGAGGTTGGTGGCCCTGCCAGTGGTGGGGGGTTGGAGATTGATGATCCTTGAGGTCCCTTCCAACCCGGGCCATTCTGTGATTCTGTGAAAAGGACTACGTGGTTGCCTGCCTACCTCTTTTCATGTACCAATTTGGATGAATATATATAAAATGTCTAAGAAGATGTTTAATGGAGAAGTAACCTAAAATTCCTGGAGAACTGACTGACAGCAAGTCTATTTTCTTTTTACACAAGGAATCACATAAATGAATGTTTGAAATTTAAATGGTCTTGTGAAGGAAAAAATAAGTATTAGCACTGTTTAAGGATCCCGTGGGACTGATAATCTAAACCTTTTTCTACTAAGCACAGTCCTTTTCACTGGGAAAAATATTGAGAAAGAATTACATACTGTCTAGCTTCAAATGCAGCAAGCTCACATGCTAAGCTCTGTTCATCAAAGAAATTAACCTTACAGTAGAGGGTTGGTGCTAAAAGAGGGTTATGATTAGGTATGTTGATCTAAATTCAGACATGCTGTGTAAGGTGATCATTTGGACTTCTTAAACTTCTTCATTCTCCTGCTACCCATGGAATTGGCTTATTGCTGCCCATCTCTGCTTTCCTCCATTTCTATAGCCAAATAACATGTTAACCAGTACTTCTTTTAGAAAGAGTAAAGCAGGACTAAGTAAAACAATAAGTGGACACTGATTTAATGCGTGTATGCATTATATCATAATTATTATATATATCAGTCTGGACTTCTGTTCTGGCAACTCTGCCCACAGCAGGAGAGTTGGAACTGGATGATCTTCAAAGTCTTTTCCAGCCTAAGCCATGACAGACTGCTCTCTTCTGAGCTAGAAGAGAATCTTTGCCATTAAACTGATGCAAATTCAGTATTTGACATTGAAGATCAAGAATGCTTTCTGAGAATTTTTATTATGAAATACATCAAAGTTGGGTACCTAGTTAAAAATACATTGTGTTTTGATGTTTCTTGCTGTTGGAGCACTTGACTATTCAAGGAAACACAGTGAAAACTCGGATACTTCTGTTGTGAGTTGACAGTCTTTTGAGTTTTCATCTGTAATGAGCCTTCTTATTTTAGGAGAGCACGGTCTTTGTACTTCTAATCTATCCCTTAATTTTTTATGAAGTCAGAATGCTTTAGGTGAACTTGCTATGTCTCTTTGATTCTGTTTTTGCTTTTGTCAGTATTAGGGTTGAACACATGAATGTGTGTTCTGCTTTAAGCTGACCGGACAGAGACTAGAAGAAGAAAAGCTGCCTCGAAGAGATGCAGTGGTTTTTAACTTCTGAACAGTTAGCTTGTTCATCCTGACTATGCGAATTTTTAAAAGCCTGCATGAATCCTGGTGTAATCTGAGTATGCTGCACTATGATTTATGACACCTTAATGCAGGGATTTAGATTTTTGCTTGTCTGCCATGGGGCACCAATTTTAGTAAAGAGTTAGCGAGGGGACACGAGTAACTTGAGCACAGAATAATTTTGCTGCCACAGATAGGGTTTAAGCCTTATAAACCTGAACGTTCTGTTTTAAATACGATAAACATTTGCTCTCGTGTATGCCATTTAACAAGGAAAAAAGTAGACAATGTGTTTGGAACTTGCTCCCTGTAAATGATAGGACACAGAGCATTTATGCATGATTTTCTGGGGTCTGCATATGAAGTTGGTACCAAGTTAATATGCCATGCTGATACAAGTGCAAAACATGAAAAACCACCCACAAGTTGTCCTTGAAGTTTCCATCAAATGACCTCTGAGTTTATATTTTATTTCTAGGAGACCCTTATATTTCTTTTTATTCAAGATATTTGACGTGATGCATCGGATGCAGTGCAGATGGAAAATGAGATTTTTATCTGGAAATGTGTATTATCTTTTACAGAAGCATGGAGTCCAGAACAGCTCTGAAAAATGAGTTCATCTTTGCAGTTGCCTGAAAGAAGTCTTCAAATGCCTAATTTTGCTTATGCCAATTTAAATCAGGAATAACTTAGGGTAGTGCTATGGGAGGACAAAACTGGAATTAGCATATTTGTAAAGCAGTTGGAATATAATGAAACAAACCTGGATGCAGCAAATGGAGACACTGCTCCATTTCAGGAAGTGCTGTGCAGTGACCTTGCCTCTGTTTATGCTTGATTTGACTTGGATTCTGGAAGTGCTCTAAGCCACATGCTGTTGCTGTTGTTTGGTGACACTTTACTCCTCCAGTAGTCTCACAGTAGGCTATTTGGGGTGTGAGGAACCAAACAAGTTGAGTAAGAATAGCATCTGCCCTTATGTAAGTGCCAGCTGCTGCCACTTCTGATTGCATTTATCTCAATAGGCAGTGTGTCAGAGCCACGTTCATCCGCTGCCCTGACAATTTTGTTTAGTCATAACCTGATGTGTTGCCTGTGTCTCTTGTGGCACAGTGTGGGTTCAGCTCAGTGGTGCTGGATGGGACGGTTTTAAACTGTATCTCGGGGAGCTGCTTCCCCATCAGACACCTGCAGGTGCTGATGCTGTTGGGGTCCATCTCAGGCCTGTGAAACTGCATGTGGCCTACTGTGACTAGTCATCAGGCACAGTATGGCTGTGGCTCCCACTGCCCTCAGAGGGAGGGCTGAAGGTGAGAAAAAACTGTTGATGGTAACACCATTGAAACAAAGATTTGGTAATCCTGTCCAGAATAAAGGAAGAAGTAAAAATACAGGGTGAGTTAATGATCAGAGAGCAGCAGGATGCCAGATCATAACTCTGGTAAGTTAATTGAAGACTCTATAAGTATGTAGATGTAGCTAGCCTGTTCTGCTGTTTTATACTGGGCTTTCTGCATCTTTTGTCATCTGTAGTGTGTATGTAATTTCCACTATGGAACAAACTAGCAAAATCCCTTGGTGGAGAAGCCTAGATGCCAGCTAGATTATCCATGCTCAGGAATAATTTGTGCTGTGCTGCAGTAGGTGGTACTAGTACCACATCTGCTTTGGTCACTTGAAGATACCTTAGCAGACTGTATGCCCTTTCAGACTCGTTGGGATAAGCTTGTTAGGGTGGGGTCTGTCCAGCTGCATGGAGAGTTCTTGCACCATAGCGTGTTTCCTTATAGCGTAGTATGAATGTCAGCTCATCATGAAGAGGTTGAGAGACGTGAAAGGGCTGCGAGGCTGTGACAGCCTGACATCTGCAACAGCTCTTTTGCCAAATTCATGCGACTCAAGAATGAATAAGGAACAACTCCATGAACAGAAAGCCATAGGCAGGTCCTTAAACAAAGACTACCTGATCTTCCAGTAACATGACTTAAGAACTATGTTAGGTTTCACAGACGCCTTCTTGACAGGATTTTTCTTTGCTATGGTCTGACTATATATGTTGCTCTTCCAAGTTTTTCAGCTTCTCTTTCTGAAGAGAGCTGGGCAGTGTGACCCCCAATACCTAGACGGGGCTTCTAATGCAGTGCGTGTTGTTTAATGACCCAGTAAGAAGCTACTGAAATGTAAACAACTCCTTGTGTGTAAGTGGTAAGTCAGTTTATGTCAGCATCAATAAGACAGGCATTATTTGTACGTGCATTTTCCTGTGTTCTTCCGGCCCTGAATGTGACATTATGGTAGCACACAGAATGGGAAATTAGGTTGACTTCAAAGAGAGTTGCTCCATCAAGGGTACTTGCCCAGGGAGATCTTGTCTCCTACTACAAACATCCTACTAACCTGAACATCAGATCAGAGCTGCGTGCTCTGGCAGTGAGAGATGTGCTTGGCTCAAGGGACACTTTTATTTCAGTCACAGAATCATAGAATATCCCAAGCTGAAAGGAGCCCATAAGAGTCATTGAATCCAAAGCCTGGAAGCACTCTTGCTGGGAGTGGGTTTGTTTCATTGGTGGGTGGCTTGTTTGTTTTGGTTTTGGGTTTTTTTATTTTGGTGTCTTTTTTAGTTGTTTGTTTTGGTTTTGTATTTTTTTTTAATCTGTGTTTTTTGCAACTGTTGGGAAAAGAAATGTTCATTTGGGTTGACATGAAAAAAATTCCAGGACAGTGGAGAAGAGTTCCAGTAGCTAGGTGTTTGTTCTGTGTGGAGGAGATCTGGAGTTTCTTGGTATAGCATGATACTGACTTCTGCTTGAGGAAAAAGCAGGGGAAAAAATGGAATCATGGGGAATAATAGGCTTACAGAAGAATGGGGTAGGCTTGACCTCTATTTGATGAGCAGTTTGATGGGCTAAATGATTGACTGTAGAGAATAGAGGGAAGAAGCCAAGAATACGTCTGTCTGCATCAAGCAGTGCTTTTGAAATACAGTGTATGTTATTATTAATGCAGCTTTTGCTGACCCAGCAGTTGGCAGAGTGGGAGAGGTTATATGCTGGCTGAGGACCACATAGCAGATGTCAAGTAGATCCTTGTTTTAATGGTAACTTCCAAACAGATTTCTTTGTCCTTTTCCTACAAATTTCTTTGTATTTTTTTTTTTTCTTAAAGTAAGGGTAGAAATACAGATTCCTGTGTATCCTCTAACTTTTTTAAATGGTAAAACATTTTATCTGAAGATTGCATGTCTGATTTGACTGACTGAAAAACTCAAGGGTTCGGTTTCTTTTTGGCTTACAAGTATCATTTTCTTTGCTTGTACTGAGATACCATGCAAAAATTTTGCCTTTTGACCCTTGCTGCAGGGTGTGCTGATTGATACAGTGGAAAAAGCCATTCACCCCGTGTGCAGGGAAAAAAGTGATCTCTGCAATCTTGAATGCCTCGATTTAGACTTGTGTTGACCTTAACAAATCTCTTCATCTATGTCACCTGATACTGATGAAGTGTGAGTTATCAGTTTAAGTGGAGCTATGAGAAGAATAGCAAATTAAATTCTACTTTTTCCTCTCTCTACTGTTACTGTTAGAGAGAGAAGAGGTGCGCTTTTCATACTCAGATTTGATATATTGGGGATTTTCTTGCTTTCAGTGCTGGTAAGGCATGAATACATTCTGAATCAAGTCCCTTTTGTAAGGAAACACCAACTTTAGTTTTACAGTTTTGTTTTCTTAGCATAGTTTCAAGTGTCACTTTTTGGGTTGGTTTTTTTCTTCTTCTTTCTGTTTTTTGGTCTCCCAGGCCTCCCTGATGTCTCGAGGCTTGAACAGTGCTCTGGAAAATGCTTATGTCAGTCTTGTCTTCTGCAGCATTCCCAGGAGGGGAAGGGCTGCTGCTTTGAGCTGCTGGGGACAAGAGGGGATCTGGCTCAAGTCTTACATCAAGACATGAAATGATACCTCTTCTGAAGACAGGAACCTCTTACTAAACCAAAAGCAAGGATAAATAATAACATATCTTTCCTCTTAGTTATCCCTGTCCCATCTTAGGCTGGTTGCCATTTCGGAGATGTGGAGATCCTTTAAAGAGACAGCAGCACTGTTAGGACACTGAAAGAGGTCCTGCCAGCACCAGTGGCAGTGGTCTGATAGATGGTGGCTTCTGCAGTCTCTCTGCAAGAGGATCGGGTTTGAAGCACCTGCCGCTTTAACCTCAGTGCTTAGAATGTCTTCTGAAGCAGTTTTGTCAGCACCTGTCCTGCTCCTCAGCTGCTGAGGCTCTCCAGTGTCCTCGCCTCCTCCTTTAGCAGAAATGAGGTTGATGGAGAAAACACCTGTTTTTCTCTAGCAGTACTTTCAGACAGAGGTAATACAGCTCAAGACCTGCAGATACACCTGAGAGGAGTGATGGAAGGTCTGAAGACTGTGACAGTGTTTAGGTGTAGTGAATCTGCTTGCAAGGTAGTGCTGGAGGCTGCCTCTGTGCTTTACTGGGGGCAATGAGATGTGCTATAAATAAATGACAATGTGACAGAGCTGTCTACAAGGAAAGAAAAACAACAGAGCTGCTTATCAAAACCAGCCAATGGTTTGTTCAGGCAGCTACCCTTTTCTTCCCTGAGCTTGATTACTCTTGACTATTTAGACTGAGTTAACATTTTCTGAAGTATGCATGTAGTTTTTCAGTGCTCTTGTTCTTTTCTGGAGAACTGCTTTTTGACAAATTTAGTTTTTATGTGTGGTGGAAATAGAAAAAGCTGTAACAACATTTATGTAGCTTTTTCTTTCTTAAATGCGATAGTGCTGTAAGCTCTTCTGCACGTATCTCAGAATAGACCAGCTATTTATCCTTTGAAATACTCTACAGAATAATTGTACAGTGAATTGCAGTCAACCCATCTCCCGTGACAACTGTGTATTTGGAGAAGAGTTTTTCTTCAATGGTGAAAGAGACAGCTGTCGTTGCTGGCATTTTCAGTGTTGAGACTGAGTAGGTCTGGTACTTAAAAGTGCAAGCCTTAGAAATGCAGTGTGGAATTGGCAGCTACTCCTAGCGGAAAGTTTTTGAGTCTTCTGTGGGCTACAGTTGCATGAACTAAAATACCCTATTCTCTGAACTGGCAGTGCTGTCCCTGTGTCCAAAATATATGTCTTTGTTATTTATGTACTGTCTTCAAATTATTATTTTGTGCCCAAGGTGATTTTTGTTACGAAGTTATCTCCTGCTGCTTTTTCAGACTACCCTCGCACATATAATTGCCAACAGCAGCAAAAAGAAAGGCATGAGGTTTGTGACACTGTCAGCCACAAGTGCCAAGACAAATGATGTTCGAGATGTCATCAGCCAAGCCCAGAATGAAAAAAGACTCTTCAAGAGAAAAACCATTCTCTTTATCGACGAGATCCATCGGTTCAATAAATCTCAGCAGGTATTGTGTTGCATTGCTTTTTTAGAAAAAGCCTTCGTCAGAACATCTGTGGAATTCCCCACTTAAGATGATAATTTACTTTGGGCTTTTGATTTTAATTTTAATGCTTGTGGTAAATGAATTATGGAATGTAATATTTATGTCTCTAACTGCCGGACATCAGTGTGCAGTTCCTGTGATTCAAAGATTGAAAGAATAGGCTGAGCTGTACCTGTAGTTGACTTGTGTACTGGGCTTTAGATGATGTTTTCCTGGAATTTTATTTCTTCATATTAGAAACATTTGCTGTACATACCTTCATTTCAGCCTCCACCATGGTTATAACATTCCATGTTACTTTTTAGAAAGTCTGGAATGCAGATGTGCATAGAGTGTTTGTTTTAATGCTGTGCTCTCCTCTCTGCAGTAACAGAGAAAATAAAGGCATAGTGTGGTACTTAGAGATAGTATGTTGCTGCAGCCATCACTTGGGTGTTTGTTTCCTATTTCTTTTCTTAGGTATTATATTTTTCAGTCATGGAAAGCTTAAATTCTGTCCTGATAGTTAAGGACATGTCCATGGTACAGAACTAAGACATGGATATGGAACTGTGTTGTGATCTTCCTGTAGTTTTCTGAGGTGTTCTATTGAATTAGATGGAGAACAGTAGCCCTGCACTTTGGTTCAAAGAGTTAGAAGTAGCCTCATTATTTGTTATGTTTGATAAGACATTTTCATGTTATCTCTTCTGCCACACAACAAAATGAAGTTACCTAAGTAAACAAAAAGCTTACAGACTTTTGATGCTTCCTTTTTAGCTGGTAGAGTCATTCTCATTGCAAGAATGGATTATCAAGGTGAACAGCTCACGATGTGCACGAAATTAAGTCATTTAATTAGCTGAGCAGATGAGCTGCCTTGTCAGTGAGGTTATTTGTCACATCAACAGGGAACCCAAAGACTCACAACGCGAGAAAAAAGTATTTGAAAATGCTAGGTAGCCTACTCACATGGGATGTTTCAGGTTGTCATTGATTGAAATCAGTTGTTTCTGCTTCCCTCCCATACTCAGGACACTTTCCTTCCTCACGTCGAATGCGGGACAGTGACTCTGATAGGAGCAACAACAGAAAACCCGTCCTTCCAGGTCAACGCCGCTCTTCTGAGCCGGTGCCGGGTGATTGTTCTGGAGAAACTCTCAGTTGAGGCGATGGAGGCAATTTTGCTGCGGGCTGTCAAGTCCTTAGGGGTCCAAGTTTTGGGCCAAGGCAACCAGCACAGCAGCTCTGCGACTGGCAGCAGCAACGAGAGCTCAGAGTGAGTACTTTATGGGCTGCAGGGTGTTAACGCGCACAGCCTGAGGAATTGACTGCCTGCCAGGGAGAGGATGAAGCGCTTAGGGGGGTGGGAAGAGAAACCCTAGCCACTTCTGATAGTAAAGAAAAGAAGTGGCAGCATATGGCAGGGGCAGCAGGGTGACAGGAGGGAGAGAATTCAGAGCACTGGCTCTCTCCATCCAAAACATAATCTTACCGTCTGGATTAGGACAGAGTTTTATACTTGGATCTGTAGCTCCTGGCTCACCCCCCAGGATATTTAAATCCATTCCTCTGCTGAGGATTTGCTGTGGAAGCCTGTAACTGAGTCTTTTTCATATCCTAATGTGCACTACTTCTTGTTATGGGTTGTGAACGCATCACATTTCCACTCAGTAGCAGATGGGGCATCCCCTATTAAATTAACTTGGAAGCGTGTGACAAAAGTATGTTGTTTTCTGAGGGTTTTTTAAATGAAATCAGAGAGGATGTTGCTGGTGTGTAGCTTCAGCATAAATGCTACTTTATGTTCTGTGATGTGCTGGGGAGAGTGTTTGCTGTGAGATGTTAATAGATTTATTTATTTTTTCTGCCCCTTTTTGTCCAAACTAGATAGTCATGTGAAACTCTGGGGAGAGTTTGAAATAAATTAGATCAAGATTCATCTGTGGGGATGTATATTTGACTTTTGAAATGGCTAGCTAGCAAATAAGAATAATGCTTGGTCCTATGCTGTTTTCGTGAAAGTTATCATCGCAGTTTCTTCGTGATGTTGCTCTTGTGTACTACTAGTCAGTTAAAGTGCATTGATGTGATGGTAACTGTGTGGGCACTCTGTGAATGAGATGAAAGAGAATATATTGTGTCCTTTCAGTATTATCACAGAATGCAAGCAGTAAGAATAGGTAGCTGGGGTGCTGTGGTCAGGAAAGGGACTGAAAGATGTCACTCCCGTTTCTGCCTTTTTTTTCTTTTTTTATTGTTATCCTTTTTTTTCAAGGTATCGTGGCTTGTTTTTAACATCTATGTGGTGATACGAATCTTGGAAGAGAGGGCAATAGAACATGTCATCTTTAACATAAAGGCACAGCTGTGCTTGTGGCCACACCCTAACTGAGGTTCAGAGACTTTCCTTTCTGTATAGGATTAAAGTATGAGGCATAGTTTCAGTTGCAGTTGTTTGGGTTTGGGTTTCACTGGATTCCCTGTATCTGTAACCTCCTGTTAGCAATAGATGATTTAAAGAGCACGATATGGTGTTTAATCAAACTCGAAGAAGTCTGGCAAGCAGACTGTCAGACTAACATAGTTTCAAAAATATATCCATGAAGAGAAAGTGCCCCACACCAATTTCCAAGTGGGAGCCAGATGCTTTAAAATGGCAGTCAGAATTTAAGCGGTTTTGTTGCAATCTTGCTTAACCTTTTTTATTTGTATTTTCTGCCGCTATCTGGTTTTGATCAGTAGCTAATACATACTCCTGCTGTTGAATTTGGCTTTTTTCTTTTTAAGCCATTCTATCCCTTTCTCTGATTCAGTTTTGGTCTCACTGTTAACTCCTCCTCATTTCACGCCCCATGCTATTTTTGCTCCTTCATTTCCTCTCCACCTACCACTCTCCAGGAGCAGCTGTGTCTTCTTTTACCTTTTTTACCTCACCACATCTAGGAAGCAGGAATAACATTAGACACAGGTAGATAAGTGTTCAATCTATCCTGGGGAACAAATGAAAGGGATATTATGAATTACAGCTGAGTTGATTGTTCACTTTGGTCACCTTTTTCAGAGTTGAAAAAGGTAATGTAACACTGCATGTCCCCAGATGTGAGGTATGCCCATTTAAGAAGGGAGGCAGAGCTCCAGCCAAAAGGCAGAAGAGGGGCATGAATATTAAATTATGGTTTTAGTCTCCTTAAGGAGTAAGTTTGTTTCCAACCACGTGGAGTGTGAAATTCTGCATATGCTCCTAGGAATCTTGTTTATTGAGATGGTCTTGGTATCATGTCACTTATGTGACCTTGTTCAAATTTTGGAAAGGAAGATAATTCTTTATGGTGTCTACCTTGGTGGTGAATCTTCCTTAGTTTCTACAGGTATCCTGTGTGCTCAGTGAGAATAAAGCCATTGCTGAATTTCATCAGTTTCATTGGCTCTGCACTGCATGCATATGTAGCAGTTATCAAAAAGAAAAGTGTACTTGTCCAGAATCTATTTAAGTTTTCTTGGTGGCTTTTTCTTGTCTTGCTCCCACTGTTGCTGCAAGATTATAATAAGGTTAGACCACCTTGCTTCTTTTTTACACTTGTGGCCTTTTCTTTCTGTAAAGTTGAACCACAGAGAGGCATTACAGAATTTGGCATCTTTTTCTTTATGTCATCACACTTGTGCTGGGCTGCCTAGTTCTGGGTCCAGCATTTGGGAGCTGAGCAGAGGGGCAAGATGACCATCCTTCACCTGCTGGCAGCACTTGGCTTCACGTAGCCCAGGGCACCACTCACCTTAGTGACCAAGGCTGCTTGCTTGTTCAGCAAGGGTGATGCCAGCTGTGGTAAAGGCTGGTGACTTTCCTCCCCATGTGCAGAAATCTGTGCTTCCTTTCACTGAGGCCCATGAGGTTCCTGCTTGGAATGTAACAGTGGCACAGCAGCAGGAAAAGGGGCACAAAGCATTAGGGATAGGGAGGTAATGACCATTGTGCTGTTAGAAGCACCTACACATTTTCTACACTCTTTGTTTCTGCTTTATTTCAATGGTGAACATGGACAGCAATGACAGGGGGCTGATGTGTGTCCCAGCTGCTGCACAGCCCCAGTATCACCAACTCCATCACTGTTCTATTGCTGTTGGTGGGGTGGCCTCTTCTTTGGTGATGCCAGGTCCTGGGGGTTCCTAGCCTTCCTCTTGGAGGCTCACTGGTCCCCCCAGATGGGCTGGTACCAGAGGGCCCTGCCATAGGTTCTGCCAGCTCCTTACCAGGTGCTGCCAGATCCACAATGGAGGCGGAATGGGGGCATGATTGGCACCTCATCCCTCTTGGAGCTGGCGGGGCTGCCGAAGGCGGCAGGAGGTTTATGACAAGTGTTCTTGCTACAGTTTTTCATTGCATCGAAGAATATGGGATTGTTTCTCATTTGTCCTACATTCACTGGACAATCACTAGCACTTCGTGTTATTTGGAATTTTTCATTGAACAGATTTTAAGAACTGAAATTCAGATAATACATATTAAGCTATTCTGCATTTTTTAAAGTCATGGAATTTAAGCCAAAGATCATGATATAATTTAAACGTTTCAAAAATTAACTGGATCACTCCTGGCTGTGTGCTTTTACTGGGTTTGAGTTTGATTCTTTACTCTTCTGTGTGCTCTCCTTCCTCTGATAAGTTCCTGTTTTTGTCACAGTGGGATGGTTTAGAACAGTGTCTGCTTTTGTGAATTCATGTCATCACACTTGGTCCATCTTCTGCTATTTGGGGCCCTTGTTGTTTTATTAGTGATATCAGGTGTACTGATTTATGGTGGTGGAAATGAAGATGCATTTCTATGCCCTCCCCAAGGACCAGAAAAGGGGGAAAGCATCATGGGAAAGGACAGGAACACCAATGGCCTTGTCAATAACACAGAGACTTTTCTTCTTCGTTATAACGGATGTTTATTTTGTCTGCAAGCAGCAGGCCGAGAGGTCGATGTTGTCCTCCCAGCCCGCCGGAGCCACGCTCTGACGGCAGTGCGGTGCCGGCCTAGCGCCGCCGCCGGGGCCGCCTCTTGCGGGGTGGGGTCGAGTCCTGGCGGCTGCTGCTGGCCTTCCTCTTCGGGGGGCGCCGGGGCCCCCCATGCGAGCGGTCCCTGCCCCGGGCAGAGGGGCCCGCTGCCGCCGCCTGCCCTGGCTCCTCCTGCGGCTCCTG